TCAGGCCTGGGCCAGTGGCAGTGCTGCTCTGGGACGAGCTGTGCTTGCTCTCCGCTGTAGCTTTCTATCCCAGCACGAACAAGGCGGTGCTGCACTGCTGGAGTGGTTGTGGGGCAGCTTCAGTTTTGTAGACCTTCTCCCGACTTGGACTTCAGCTTTTTAAATGTCTTAGTCAAGCTGAGAAATGCTTGACCCCATGAGATCTCGAGACAGCAGGGAGTTTCCAGATAGAAGCACTTATTACTGGTGTAGGTGATGATGAATTTCGCAGGGCATCTCCCAGGTGGCTTAACTGGAGCTGCGAGTTATTGACGAGTCACTGTGATTTCACAGGGTTTCGCAGGGGCTCCGATGCCTCTGCTCCGTATCCCGTAACTGGGATTGCAGTCAGCCCAGCACCGTTTGCAGTCACCTCGTGGCTACGTGTGTCCCTAAGCCTACCCCTTCCCTCGAACCACGACGGCAAAGGTTAGAGCTGAGGCAAGCACTGGAAAGCTGCAGCTTGTTTTGCCGTTGAGCGTGATAGTCCTGACCCTCTTCCTGAGCTGTGCAGCTGGGCTTGAGGGTTCTGCTTCGACACATCTAGGACAGACGTCTGCTGCAGCGCGCTGGGGGTTCTGTAGAAACTCCTTGCAAATTCTCTTCTCTTTAAATATTTGCAGAACAAGACTAGATGCACCTCGATTGGAAACAAAATCCCTGAGTAGCTCTGTGTTGCCACCAGGTTATAACTCTGACCGTCTGTCAGGAAGCAACCGGGACCAGATCCTGAAACCAAAGCGGTCCCATCGCAAAGCGGATCCTGATGCTGCTCACAGGTAGGATGATCGTGATCTCTCCCGAGAGCAATGTTCTGGAGGGTATCTCTAGGTCAGCGCATGTCTGAGGTTCCTGGCCTCTGACAAGAGAGGCTGCACAGCAGGCTCAAAAACATCCTAGTTTGCACCTCCCGGGCGCCTGCTGTGGCGTGCGGATCTGTTTTATCAGAACAAGGTTCTTCATACGTTCCTCCTAGGCTTGCAGAGGCCGAGCGCTGGCTGTAAGCAGCTTACATTGTTTATCCCGTGAGTGGCATAATGAAGAAGCAATAGATTTGGCTGGCTCTTGATAATGCAGTCATTCAAAACAGTAGTTTCCCTGCAGCTAATTATTTTTGACCTCTATTGCCAAGCAACCTGTGCAGCTGCATTAAACAATATTATGAAAGCAGTCTTGGGAGAGAACGTGAGGTTTTGCTATCTGGGAAAGGTGAAGGCCTTCTTGGGAAGCTTCTCAGACCTGTTTTGGTTCCAGAGCTGCATGTGTATGTTTTTGTGTGTCTAACCAGACCGTGTGAATGCGTAAGCCTGACCTTCAGCGGAGCTCCTCGCTGAGGTTTCAGACAGCTTGAGCTCTGCAGCCAGGCTTCCCTCAAACACCTCCTTGCTCTGCGTGAACGTACTGCTAGCCGTGAGCGAGAGCCAGTCTGCCGGCTGTCATGCGACATTGCTGGTATTCTCCAACTCCAAAGCTTCCCAAGGGTTGAAAGGACATTCTCTGCACATCGTGTAACCCCGAAAGCTGGCTTGGTCCCGGGCCTTGGCTGCTGTGCGGTCCCAGCCCGTGTTGCAACCTGTCCTGGAGGGAGGAGGGTGGAGATGGCTTGTTTATGAGCGGTGTTCATTCACCTGGACGCTGCCTAGGAAGGCAGATGAAGAAGAGCAGCTAGCCTGCAAGTGAAAGCTCCCCTCTGAGCACGCAGCGGGCCGGTGTGTGACTGGAGAAGCGATCATGCAGCACAAATCTGCAGATCTTAAGAACTGGTTTTTGGCCTGATGTGACCTTATCGGGGTGGGGGGGTTGCGTAGTCTCCTGCAGCAGGTGGGTATCAAAACCACGTTTTTCTCTTCCTTTGGCCTCGAGGGCTCCAGTATAACCCAGGTAAATAGCATGGATATCAGACAGTGGTATCTCCAAAAGGAACTCAGCAGTTGCCACCTAGGGTAGAACAAGTAGTCCGTGCAGCCCACCAGCCCGGTCCTACTACGGAGCGATGGCGGGCGAGAGCAGAGGCAGCTTTGCAGAAATAACAGTTGCACTGTGCTGATTTTTGAGAGGACTGTGGAGAGGACAAAGGAGTTCGGAGCTGTGGTTCAATCCTGCACCACAGGCACCCCAGCAGCTGAAAAAGGAGCTCAGCTCTGTGGTGCGAGTTCTGCTGTAGGAGAGACAGACCCCCCTGCCCAAGGGATGTTTCTTGGGGCCCCAAGCTGCACTTAAAAAAAGGTGACTGGGCTGTTTGGAAGCGTCCCTGGTGGAGGTAAAGACCAAAACTTGCCCTGGGAAGGGAGAGGACTTGCACCATCGAAAGCAAAGTTCTCAGCCTCCCCGCGGGAGGTGCAGCTCGGTGATCTGTTCCTGCTCTGCTGAGTGCCCGGCGCTGGGAAAGCGGTGTGGGAACAGTCAGCCGTATCGCTCAAAGTATGCAAAACTGCAGATAGCGTCCGCACAAGGAATGCCTCAATCCTGTCGTGGATGTGCTCTCGCTCCCTCTTCCTCTCTCTCTCCGTAGGCCACGGATTCTAGAAATGGATAAGGAGGAGAACAGGCGCTCGGTCCTCTTACCAAAACATAGGAGACGGAGCAACTTCAGCTCCGAGAACTATTGGCGACGGTCTTACGAGTACACGGAGGACTGTGACGAGGAAGAGGAGGACGGCAGCCCGGCCAGGAAAGTTAAAATGAGGCGACACTGAGGATTGCACTTCCCAGGCTCGCGGAGCTGATGAGATTGGCCTCCAGTCTGTGAAAACTTTCTCCTCTCTCTGGCTATCTTCCATCTAGCTTCAGTTTTGGTTTTTCCTTTCAGGCTGAAGAGTAAACAGGAAGGATCTAGCGATTTGTTTTTATGAATGGAGGAATGCTGAGACATACGTAAGGATGGAACATGTCCAGTGCACATGGTGTCCTGAGTCATGGGTCAGACGGGCATCTCTCCCTTAGGAAGCAGATAAAGTTATGCCAGGCTGTCTGTTGGGATTTCTGTTGAAAACACCAAAAAGTTTAACTGTTTCGTTGCGCAAGATTCAAGAATTGTATTTTTGTTTTGTTTTGTTTTTTTTTGCTTTAACTTCCTTCCTTTCCAAATGTTCTAAGTATGATGTTTGACCCCAGGAGCTGAAACTCTCTGTGGTGGCCTCGTGTTTTTTGCTTCACCAAAGGGCTCCTTGGTCTGCTCTTACCGAGTTGTTGTTGGGTTTGTTTGAAGGGTGCCCTGCAGTAACTGGAAGTTTGAAGCTTTGCAGACCCCTCTTACTGCGATTTGATTTCAAAGGGTTTAGGACGTTTTTTGTTGCACTTTAGTACCAGTTTTAAATGCCATAGGTTTCCTTTCCAGTCCCTTTTCCCAAGCCAGAGTGGGCTCGCAGCCTGCGTGTCCCAGCGCTGCCCTCTCTGAGAAGAATGTATGTGAGCTCTGGTTTCTCAGTGCTGGTCTGACCAGGGGTATATTTTTGGTTGAGGAGGAAGGACATGTGGCTGGCTTCACGGAGGCCGGCCCGGCGTCGCCCCGAGGTCCATATTGGAGCCCGGGGGCTGCCGAGTGAGCGATCGCATTGAGTGCATGCTGCTTCCCAGAGCTGGAGATAGCAAAGAGGAGTAGGAGAGACGCTGCGCTCGTGAGGACGCTTGCCGTGGGGTGCCTGGAGAAGAACTGTTCTCCGCTGCCTGGGGGACTGGCTTTCGGTCCCCTGCCCCTTTTTAGGTGGAGAGAGTTGAGACGGCATGGCGTCCCATCCCGAGGGACCGGCTGCGCTCTGTCAGAGCAGGAACAGGCGCTGCTGCAGCCTCGGGGGGGCCGGGCAGCTCGGCCGCGGGTCGTCCCCCACGAGGCCGGGGACGGGAGGGAGGAAGCTGAGCCGGCCCCGCAGAGTTGGCGTTGGAAAGTCCGCCGCCTTCCTGCTCTTCTCCCACCCGGTTTGCGTCAGCCCAGACCGAAGCCTCAGCGTTTTCAAAGTTTGGGGCCCAACACCATATTTAGAACCGTACTTTTAAGAAACTTCCTCCAGTTGATTCTTTGAACCCAAGTGTTGGCAGTTGTAAGGAGTAGTCTTATTTTTAAATTTTTACTGCTTTGCCCTCCCTCGAATTGTAGTTTTTCTTAGTGTCGTGTCCCCCACACACTTCATGGTCTGCACGCTTGGCAATAAAAAGATGTAATATATTTTGAAACCCGTTTGCTGCTGTCTTGAGGGGCTCCCAGTCAAAACAGAAAAACAACAAACCCAGGCGTTGTTCCCCGGAGCGCCGTTCCTTGGCGATCGAGCACGTTTGCTGACATCTGGGTCTCGGCGTCCTTCTCCTTCCGCGCTGACTTGTGCAGCTCCTGCCGCTCGCCCGCGGTTGGGGTTACTGCTCGGGCTGGATCTAGCGGCTGGGGCAGTGCGAAGGGAAGGGGTGGTTCCCCCCTGAGGCCCCCAGTGCCGGTCTCTGATTCTCTTTATCCGATTGCTTTCCTGACAACAACACCCGGCGGCTCGGTGCGGAGGTGCGGGCACAGCCTTGCGGCCGGCCTTCGAAGGAACCTGTCTTGTCTGCCCAGAGACCTGAAAGTTCATGCTTCCGAGACCTTTAAAAAGCCGTTTTCAGACCACGCTTAGCATTTGAAGCGGTGTTCCTCACCCTCCAAGCTCTCTGCGGAGAATCCAGGCCAGCTCTTGGCTACAAACCCCCTGGTTTGGAAAGCTTGGCATTCCTCTGATAGCAAAACCGCATGCAGGGAGCTGCGACCCCTTCTCCTCCTTATGGCTGGTGCAAACACCTCCGGCAAGCTGGCGGCCTGCTAGCAGGATGCCTAGCAGTGTCTGTCCCTCGCTGTCTGTCTGGGTTCCTCCTGGATGTGCCCCGTGCCCTCCGCAGGCTCAGGCAGTGGCAGCGGTTGCTGCCAGAGGTCTCGGCTCTGCACAGTCTGCTCTCCCTCTCTCCCCCACCGGCTCCCAATTTTACGCCTACCTCTGCCATCTGGATACTGTACCCTGCTGTCAACTCGGAATGAAGCTGGAAGCAGCCGGGCTTTCTGGGGCCGCTTCCCAGAGCGGGGCTCCCGTGGGACGAGGTGTTGGCTCCATCTTCTCTGGAGGCTCAGCAAGGCATCCTGAGGTCTTACCTCTAGCCTGGTACCGGCCATCACCTCATCCCGGTTCTCGTGCTGTCTGTACGCGTGCAAGTATCCTTCCTTTCCCAGTTTGTTTCGGTATTCCTGCATGCCGTGGTCGGGAGCTCTCCCCTCCTTCCTTCCCCCCCTGCCCCGCATCTGTGCGGTGGGTCTGAGGTGGCAGCCGTGGCCGGAGGGACAGAAGCTCCTCAGTGGAGCTGCTCTGCAGCCGCTCTCTGTTCTTGTGTGCGCTTGGTTTTCAACCTGACTGGTTGGGGCTTGACACCTTGGAGAGAGAGCGGGACGCAACTGGCCTGACCCGTAGCATCTCCTGGGCGAGGAGTCCCCAGCGTGTAGGCAGGCCATCTTCCCCACCTGTACAGACATTTTCTATACACACGGATGTATATGTGTAGATAATGTGGTTTTTTTAACTCTTTTGCACTGAACAACACCGGAGTGAAACCTGGATTCAGAACCAGAAGACACATTTTTCACGTGGATCCAGGTGTCTAGATCCCTTTCTGTAACCTGTCTGGTAAAACTGTCGCTCGGAGATGCTGGCGATGCCCGTGTCTGTGCTCTGTCACCGGCCACCTCAGGCTGCCGGCAGACTCAGGGTCAGGTCGGTGGCACGGGTCTGCTGCAGAGGATGGAGGGTGGTGAGCTACGGTTTGGAGGCAGAACTTCTCCCCATCTGCTCCATGGGCCGGGCTCGTGCACAGACCTAACCCCGTCGGCTTTGCCGTGTCTCTGGTCCGGTCGTGCGGTCTGGTCTCCTCTTCATCCACCCGCAGCGTGTCGTTGGTGTCACCCGCTCAGCCCGAAACTGGGAACAAGGCTGCGTCCGGTGTGACAACCCCACGCACCCAGACCCACGGCCCAGACCACCAGAACTGTCTTTCCTAAGGAAGGGGGAGGAAGGTGGGGTTTGTCCATGCTTTTCTGCAAAGGGCAGGAGGAATTGGGGTTTGTTACTCTTGCCGTATCTTGAGAAGACTCGGCGACCGAGCTAAAGCTCTGGCGTCGGTTGCGTGGGCTCATTACGTCCGTAGGAAGAGAAGGAAGGGCTGCTTGCCGGCGGCAAGAGGTGAGCTGGCCTGGGGAGGCTCCCTGCCCGGCTGGGCTCGGCAGGGCAGG